TTTATTATATTATTTAAAAAAAAATTATTTATTTTAAAATTATTCAGTTAAATATGTTGTTATTTAAAACGAAATTAATTAATAATTTAGTATATAATGTATAAAAGAAATTTAAAATTTTTATTATATTATTTAAAAAATTTCGATTAATTTTATATAAAATAACTTTTATATTCCCTTAAAAAAAAAAAAAGTATACAGGTTGATTTTATTTTCAGCGAACGGAGAGGCTGTCGGTAAAAGATGGCGTCTAAAGCTTTACGGGTAGTTGTGGAGAAGGCCGTGCCGGCGGCGCGGCGCCAAGCCTTAACATTGACGGATGCTGCCGCTGATAGAATACGGCATCTATTACAGATGCGGCAGCGCTCGTTCCTCCGCCTTGGCGTCAAGGCTCGTGGCTGCAACGGTCTATCCTACACCCTTAATTACGCAGGTCCGCAAAATTTCATCAATTTATGTCACATATTTTCTCTTCTATTTTTTTTTATTTGATTTGTTCTTTGTTTAGAATATAATGATTCTTTGATGTATCCTTTTATTCCTTTCTTGGTGCTTAATTTTTTTTTTTTAAATTGGTTATTCTCATTATTTTGAGCAATTTCTCTTTAATTATTTCATAGTTGGTTAGATGATTAAATTGAATTGAGGGATAAAAAAAAGAAGGGAACTTGATGAAACAATAGAGAACTTGTTGCATTTCAACATAAAAGAATTAAACGGTGTGATGATGTGTTAATTATTGTATAAAATATGTGAAATGTAACATGTTGAAGAGAGGGTTGGAGTTAGTCGAGCAAGATTTTGGTGAAATACTCGATCGCAGAGGAATGTAATGTGTGCAAGAGAAGTGGGTGCAAATTTATATCTTATCCTTCGCTATGTTTCAGAAAATGGTGTAGTTATGGCTACTAGATTAGTGCGTGTTTTTATTTTAATGATATGCTGTTGCGTACTTGGATTTAGCAGATGAGAAAGGGAAGTTTGATGAGTTGGTTGAAGATAGAGGTGTAAAGATATTGATTGAACCAAAGGCTCTGATGCATGTCATTGGAACAAAGATGGATTTTGTAGATGATAAACTAAGGTATGCTGTTTCTTCCTCTTTGTTGTGTGGTTTTTGCTGATATTTCATTCATGTTGAGCTTTCAATTCTAGGTGGTTGTTAATTTTATCTTTATCCTACAAGTTCAAGACATTACATATGATGTTCAATAAGTGTCAAAAACATCACTCGTTGCTCAAGATTCATGAGACAGTAGTTAACAGTATTTTTGTCCTCTGAAATATGGACATGTGTTGTTGTCAAGAGGCAAATTTTCAGAATCCCTTCTTGATTATGTGAAGCATAAAGCCATAAAGTAGTCTTTTCGGTAATATGTTAATGCCACTCTCCAAAGTTCAATAAAATCATATAGTTTTACTTCAGAATGTGATTTAATAGCCTCCCAAGTTGCAACAGTGGATTATAATTTTGTCACCAACTTTTTTTGGATCAGAAAGCAGGGTTCAAAATAATATAATTGTTGATTCTTGGAATTTTTTTAAAATCACTTAGTATAATATATTTGTTTGGGATGTTGCACAGATCTGAATTCATCTTCATCAATCCAAACTCTAAAGGTCAGTGTGGTTGTGGAGAATCCTTCGTGACAAGCAGTGCGAGGGCATCTAAACAAGATAGCAGTTAAGAATTGGGAAGAACTTATAGTTGCTGAATTCTTTCTCTGCATGATAGATGTTGATTCACCAACACAAACACACTGAGGTTGACGGGGTATCACTTTTAGAAGAAAGTACCTCATCACAAATTCGGTGATGCAGCGAGATACACAGATGTAGTTACTTTTTGTTAGGCAACCACAGTATGTACCATTTCTTGGAAAGTGTAGCCCTCGATGCTTTCTATTTTTTCTATTTTCACATTAGTTTTTTTAACAAAAACATTCAATAGACAGCTAATAAATCTTTGTTGTGGATTGAGATTCAATAAATAACACACTTATTTCTTACCTTTCTGTTGGATTTAAGTTTCTGCTTGCAATGGAATTACATAAGAAATTCCTTACTTAATGTTTTGTGAATGGATAGCACTAAGGAAAATATGTTGCTACAAAAAAATTCAATAAAAGCTCACACTGTATTGTTGCCCTTCAAATGACAACAGTTTTAATAGGAAGGGATGATGTTCCCTTCTAAGAAATTTATAAAAATTAGTTACAATCTTTGAAAACGAGTTCATGTTAATTATCAAACTAATGTTATTTTCCCTGCCTCTCAGATCTCGTGCGTGCAGGAGTGCTTGACAGGCCAGCATAGCTTGCATTTGTTTCTTTCTTCCTTGTTGGTGAAGAGAGCCGATGTTTTGACCATTCCTCTAAAGCTTTGTGGTGGAGAGAATTCATTCGAATGTAAGGTCGTTTTTCTCGGATGAGCTTCTCCGCCTTTTTCCAGTCTTCTACAATCCCTAGTTCCAGTAAGACTGCACACATCACAGCTACACTCCTCCCATGACCTAGGCAAAGGGATTAAGCAGTTAGAAAGAATGTGAAATGCAATTCTCTTTTGCAAGGGCATGCAAGGTTCAGCTAGATGTTAACTCATGCAAAACATAGTTAGTTAGAAACAGAAGTTCAAGCATTTCAATTTTTGCTTCACTTTGCAAATTTATTGTCAAGTCAAACTTTAAACTGCAAAATTTTAAATATATGCACGGTCCAAAAATCTAAGTTCCCATAATGATATGCATTTTTTTCTAATTTTTCAATGCAAATGTTCAATAACAGGATATAATTTAAGAAAAACAGCATCACCTAAAATCAAATCACTACTGGCCTGCTCTCAGTCGGTAATGTAAAGTATTGCAAGTTTTGATGATCATTCAGGGCTCCACTCTCGAGTAAATATACAATGCCAACCTTGAAGATTAAGATAAAAGTTTCCTAATTTATTTTCTGCTTATTAAACAGAGCATACTCTTCAGAATTAAACTTATGTTTAAGATGCACATTATATAGGACATAAACCCCTTTCTTAATCATTGTAGAGGATCAGAAACAACTGCAAGGACCTAAAAAAGAATACTGCCTATACAGCCCTAGCGTCAATGATGATGAAGTAGCTGCAGCAGCTTATTTCTTTTCCTATTTTTTTAAGTATGAGAAAAGCAACAATAACTTATGTGGAACTAAGTAGAAGAAAGCAACTTTAGCATAAAAAAAAACCTGAGAATCATATTCACGTTTGTACATATGGGCTCAAGAGTAAAATTAAATTTTGTATGAGCTACCCACAGACAACACCAAAATTTTTGTGCCATCAAAGGGAAAATTCATATATCCTATCCTAATTCCTACGAACTGTATAAATGGCAATGCAGAGAGTTTCTTTGAAACCCACATTTCTAAATTTTCAACTTCAAATTGTAAACTATGACAAGTCAATAATCAACTCATGTTTATGTTCAGATTACAAAATGTCTGTAAAAATACAGAAAAATACATTTTTTGATTTTGTATACGAATGACTAAAATTTTCCCTGTATTACTATCAAATGGTTTGTATCTGAATTCCCCAAAAAAGGATTAAGAATTTTAGCTAACATAGGTACAAGCATCAGAATCATATTGTAAACTACTGATCCTTGATATCGTCTAAAATTCACTCATAATCAGGGCAAGAATCATATCGCCAACAACTAAAAAATTCTCAAATTGCAGTATAAAACGCACATAATTGAGCAGAAAAACATGAAAAGAACAGAACTTGCTCAAGTCCAAAAAACATACCATAAGCACAGTGGATGAAAACTGGCTGATTCTGAGCTCTCTTTCTACAAGCCCACTTGACAGCTGATTCAATCTCCCCCGGCTGAGGTGCCCGAGTGTCCCAAGTGGGGATGCAGAGGTAGCCTTGCCCCTTCATTTCTCTTGGGAATTCACAAGTACAATCGATAACAGCAGGGTTACCGGGTGGCATGGTGGAAGGTGAACGTGGCCACCCACCAACATAAACACCCTCACATATTTCAGTATAAGGTTCCTCCCCACTTTTCAATCTTCTCAATATAGAGAAAAATCTAACATAGTATAGGTATGGACCAAACATAATAAGAGACCAGATAGGGAAAGTCCCATCTGGCCTTTTCCCCAGAAGCATGGGGAGATTGATGACTGGGAGGGAAGCTATGGAGACCAACAAGGATACCAGGGAAGCATACAAACATGGAACTCCTAACAGGGTGAAACCAAGTCTCCTAACGAGTATAAACATCAAGAACCAAGCTGTTGCCTTGAATGCTATCAAGCCCGACAGACCCAAACCCATAATTGGTTTTCCCAAAAATTACAATATTGGAACAGAAACAAGAATTTCAGATTCGTCAACTCAAATGGGTCTTAGAAATCGCGAAATTTCATGTGGGTGTGTCATAGACTTACAATTGCTGCACGAACAGCTGCTCAGTGAAGGAATAGCAGGGAGGCGTCAAAATCGAAATGAAGGCAAGGCAGGCAAAAAGGTGGGAATGACGGAACGAACCTCGGTGGCGTCGCAATCGTACTGATCTCCGGTTCAGTTGAATCTATGCTATCGCCGCGTATCCACTGGAAGGATAAACGTCCGTAGTATCGAACATTTCGAGTGGTAACCAATTCGGTCCCTAAACTTAAAAATTACTAATTCAATTCCTAAATCAGTAAATCTTATTGTTACCGGGAGTAACAAATAACAATAATTTTTACCAAAACAGAAAAAACAATAATTGTCTCATTTAAATAATAATAATAATAATAATAACAATAATAATAATAACAACAAAACTACATGATTTTTTATTTTCAAGTTAAAAAAATAAGATTGAATCTTCCTTTCTTCAATTAATTAAAAAGAATTACATATTAATTCAAGAGGAAAGTGATTAGGTGGCCAAGAGAAAATTAATCATACAAGAAATGGAGAGAATAAGACATTCAAATATTTATATAGATAAAAAAAATTACATAACAAACTCAATAAATACTTCAATGATTAAAAATTTGAAATTTGAAATAAAAATCTCAAATTTAAAATTTAATTCGAGTAAAAAACCATTTAAAAATAGAATAAGACTATCCCTCTTATATAGTTAATAATTTAATATAAAAAAATTACATAATAACTATGACAAATTATCTTATAATTTATGAAAATCAAAAAAAAAAAAATCCTCTTTAAAATCGGGGACACCCTATAAAATTGAAACGATATAGGTATAACAAAAACAAACAGAAACTTATGCTGGTTTTGTGGGTTGGTTGTCCTAACCACTGTTTTATTCCCAACAAACACCCTTCTAAATGCTTTTATATACTGAGATTTTCTGGACATGAACAAAAGATAAGATGCTACGAAGAAGATCGTCCAAGAAGTACGTGAAGCTTCACAAATGCCAGCTCCAGCAGGATCATGCCGAGCCCTTTCTGGCACCAGAAGCAGCCACTTATGATGGGAGTGAGGAGGGCAGCCACCACGGAAAGCCTATGGAGAATAAACTTTCACAGGCCATCCAGAGGCTTATCATTGCTAGGGATGTCCTGCAGTCCAGGCGTCAAACACCCCCAACTTCTGCCGCAACAAATTTTCGAGGTGATCAGAATGATGAGGGCAGAAGCAGTAGGCGATCGGACCATCCTTTAGATGAAACGATGTTTAATGAAGTTAACCAGCAAAGAGAAGGTTTAGAAGGACAAAGAATGAACAGAATCAACAAATAGGCTATTGATGAAAACTGTAATTTGTTACAAGGGATGCGATTGTCTAAACCACATAAACAATTAGGACTTCTTGTTTCCTAAATAACTTTATCAGAGAAGTGTTTCCTTATCCTAAATAACTTCATCAGAGAAGTATAAAAAAGAATGGAGATAATTACAAGTGCTGATTCTTCAGATGCATTTGCAGGTTTACCTGACAACAGCACAGTCATCCTAATCTGAGCAGTTTGATATAATCCATGGGAATGTACAGTGTGCAGTCTTCCTTCCTCAAAACATATTTAACTCCGAGAGGTCATCCATAGGTATTTCAAGACCCATTAGGTCATGGTCTTGTAAACCATCTTCTTCAATGTTCAGCCATGCATCAAGATCTTGATTTGCCACCCCTAGTTCTTCTATGGAGTCAAATCCAGGGAGCGGCAAATCTAGATTTTCCTTCATTTCTTGAGATTCATGTTGGGGAGCATTATCACGGGTTGAACCAACTTCTCTTTTCTTATTGCCACTACTTGAGGAATACACAGGATGGGTTGTTTCTGTAAACTTGTTGATCAATCCATTTCCTGAGGTTGATAGCTGAGCTGTCTTATGCTTAGGCTTTGATTTTGTTTTACGCTCTCCCTTGGTATCACTTATTGATGCACGACCAGCTTTGCCAATGTTACTTCTGATATCTTTGTCTCTTTCTCTTTCACTTCTCTTTCCCTTTGCTCCACCAAGCAAAGTATTGCCAAGCATTGATGCAGCTCTCAAGGAAGCACTCCCACCAACATCATCTAGTAGCACTTCCTTTTTCTTCCCTCTGTTTAATATTGGCCCAGTTTTGGCAAAGTCCTGTTCAGAGAAAGTTGTAAAAGTGCCTAAGGCATCAAATGGAACCCTGCCCATTTTATCAGTATGGGGGTGCTGATCCCCGCCAGTGAGGTGCCCTGCTGGTGTAGAACATCAATTTATTAAACACAGAAGAGTTGTTGATGTAAAATATCATATAACAAGAGTAGTGGTGTTGAGCAGAAATTATGATCAACGAAAAGTAGAAAATAAATTCACTGAATTTAACTAGGTGACAAACAAAATTGAAGCTCTTTGACGTAGAAAAAATTCATAGGTGTAAAAGAATTGAACATGTCAAGACAACAGTACAGACATTTTGTGAAATAAAATACTAGGGAAAATGGCTAACCTTGCATCCCAGGCTCCATTTGACAGCCATGATTCTCAGGTGTCCCACGTGCATCATTTTGCCTAGGGGCTGGAGCAAAAAGGGCGTCCCGAAGTGCAGGCTCAGTAAAGCAACTTTTGCCAGTTTCTTCAAGTTTCCGGCATCTATCAAGAGTCCTCTTCATAAAAGAAAGGGCAACATGTTTTGAAACCTTAGGGATACTACTTTTGGAAGCAGTACTTCCCCGTGTAGCCTGACATTATTAATAAGAGAGACATGGACAATAGGGAATGAGCATTAGATTATTCTCAGGAAGAAAAATGAAAAACTACTCATTTTTGTAGTGAAATCCACAAAGAACAGGATAACCATTCCACCTAAAAAACTGAGAACAGATGATATAATATGAGAACTGACAATGTGAATAACATTGCAAGAAATGAGAAATTACCAGCCGTTTTTTATAAGCCAGCTCAACAAGTCTATCCATCGCAACCTGCTCAAGGCTCCTGCAAATTGACATATAATTTTAATCTTCAAGGAAATTCAAAAGGTGGGCCAACAATCATAATCATCAGAGAAGTATAAAACCCTACCCTCCCTCCAGTTCCTTGGCCTCCTGCATTGCTTTAATTATCTTTTTCAAGTGTGCATTCTTTTTATCAACCTATAGAAACAAAAAAAAGTGGAAAAAAGAAAGAAAAATGATTCATTATTCAGTAAACATGACAAGCAGTTTCATAAATAAATACATGACAGGTAATTCTTCAAACAATAACATGAATGTTTCTCCTGAAGATGCAAGTGATCAAATATTCTTCTCTCCAGCAAGTTCTGCTCAATTTTATAAAATAAATTAAAAAAAAAGAAATAGTTTAGGTTTTGAAAGATAACCTGGTGATGGCGCCCCTTCTGTAGTTTGCCAATGTCTTCATTAATTGCTTCGTCTTCTCCATCTGCTAGATCAGGCTGTCAGAGAGTACACATAAAAAGGGTGAGGATGGAAATGAAAAATGGTACAAAAGAACCCAAGAGAGAGCAGCCACAGTTTATCAGGAGTCCACAAGAGGATGGGAGCTATGGTTTTGGAGGATATATTACCATATGACTATATGAAGATATATAACAATAAAATATTGCACAGGACACAAAATTGATGAAGTTTTCAAAAATGAAATAAGAAAATAAAATATCTATTGCAAAATAGCAAAAAAGGAGAGGAAAGGGAAATTACATGACACAGCAATTTCACATTATAAGTTTTTATTTTGTTCACATTGTTGCTTATTCAAGGAGAACCTTACCACAGCATCAACATAAATACCAAGACTCTGCAGCTCCATCATGAGTTTGTCGTCCACACAAATTTGCTCATATTGGCAAACAGGGGAAGAAATTCCACCAGTAGTTACATGCACAGACAGTGATCCATCACTACAGCTTTTGTGAAACTTGGAAAACGTTCCAGTATCTTGATCTAAAAATTCACAATCATCTAGGAGCATATCATCATTTTGTGCTCTGGCATGGAAGCTTGAGCACCTGTTAAAGTTTGCATACCCATTACAAGAGATTCCTTGAACATTATTCTGCCTATGGGTTTGAAGACATGAAGATTCATATTCAACCTCAAGTCTTGGCCTTTTTGTAGTCTGAGCATCAGCTGGAGAGCATGTACCACCAGACAAATTATCACTATTAGACTGAAAAATCATATTGCACTGTCCACCATTTTCCTCAAATTCCACTGTTTCATCTTCAACAATTAGAGCTGACAATACTCTCTTGTACAATGGAGGTAATTTGCTGCCTCTTTCCACATTTGATCTTTCAGAAAAAGTACAATCATCCTGAAATTGATCAACCATATTAGCTGTCCTTGATTCATTTGATTGAATACCATTGCGCATGCTTCCCTGTCTTTCTCCAAAAACAGAAGTTTGAGACAGAAAGTTTTGTTCGTGCATCAGATCACCCTGTGAGAAGAGAACAACTTCAGAACCACAGCAAGGAAATGTCTGTTATAGAATTTACCAAAATATTATTAACACACCTGGGACAAGCTCTCATGATGCTCAAAAGATTCCAACTAAAACAGAATAAGAAATATAAGAATAGACATCTGTGAGTGATCATCTAGGAAAATAAATAAAATCAAAGCATGCATAAGTAAAACATCATCTTTTCAATAGTTTACTGAGGTTAGCAGTTAACACCTGTTGCTTCAAGTATGAGATACCCTCTATGCTGACAGAAGCAAATGCTGGTTCCATTTTCTTCCAGAATAAACTAGAACATTTAAGATCTGCTAAAAGCAAGTACTATTACTAGTTGACCAGCATCCCTTATGTGCAAGACAAAGGAATATATGCACAACTATAGAGAGACAAAGCGACACAAATAAACCCAACATGCATCATGCTCTTGTATTAAAAGAAAACAAAATTTAGGTCAGGCACATACAGCTAGAATTGCAAGCAAAATTTGCAGCAGCCAAACATTCCACACGATCATCATCTGATTCACCTAAAAAATAAAACATGGCACATAAGGTTGCAGTGATAAATTTCTGCAAGGCATGGTTTACAATATCCTTTTTTTCTTTTTTCTTTTTTCCCTCTTTTCAAGAAGTAATTATATAAAAGAAAAACAATTGACATGAGTAAAGGAGTGCACTGCCTTGCTGAAAATAGGCAGGAAGTAATGAACCAAGGAAAGATGGTAATCCTCCTAGCATATTATACTGACATTAATACTTAATGGTAATAATTTCCCAGAAACATCCGTGGAAGGATGTTAAATCTAACACTCTGATGCCAATAAATAAATAAACTAACACTCTGATTTATTGAAAAAAACATAATAATATTCAAGTAAAAAATCTTAAATCCAGATAGCCAAAGATCTAGGAGGTTTAAAACTAATATGCTCATTAAAAAATATCAAGATCAAGGGAACCCTTTTGCATAGTTATCAGTTTTCTTCTCTTCTAACATATAAACCAAGATGCAGGAAAGCTTGCACTTTATGCTGTTGCAACTCTTAAAAATTGCAGATCCTTAAGCTTTGTTAACAAAAGACATGGCTTAAGTATCTAGTTCAGATGGACATCTGGTGCTTCTTGATTGAGATACCTGTGCAATCTGGGGAACCAGTTGGCGTGAGTCCAAGACGGGTAACCTTGCGATCTGATAGTTTCTTTAGAGGGGGCCGCCCTGACTTGCTGAAAACATAAAAATGCAAAGTTTTTATGAAACCTTGATAAAAGGTTGGGAAAAAAAATAAATTCCATCCTGCTTCTAATGAAAGATTTAAAATACCTGCCACTCTTATCAGAACCAGGCCTTGAATTTTTAAGTGGCTTGGTTGAGGTTGGTGTTTCCAATTTCTCCCTCACTGGCGAAACACTAACCCTGGAAGTTGTTGAGCCCCTACCAGTCCGTCCTTGTCGCCGTACACCATCTCCAACTTCTTCCCTATTGAGTGTTTTATTTTTCTTTGTAAACAACATGGGAGACCCATCATTCTGAAGATCATTTATATTTCTTTCCTCTACTTCAATACTATTTCCTAATCCTTTATCTTTCACTCTACTTTCACGCTTTTCACCTTCAGCAGATTCCTCGCTTTCAGATAACCTAGCTGGGGAAGAAATATTTTCATGCTTCAATCTAAGCTGGTTGGTGCCATTAATACCCCCCTTGGCAAGAAGTGATCCATTACTCCCAACAGAAGTCATTTTGGGGCCCAAATCAGAAGGTGGACACCCTTCCGGTGATTCTTGCATCTCATCCAGGTTGGAGACAGGAGAGACCAGATTTGTTCTCCTTGTCCGAGAAATTTTTTGGGGTCTCTGACCAACCCATTGAGCCATAGGAGGTGAGGGAGACCCACTGGGCAAAGGACGCTTACGGTTGTTAGCCAGAGCAATTGCATGGACTTTGTTTATATTGGGAGATTGTTCCCATCCATCAAGTGATCCAGGTGGGCTAGGAAAATTAGGAGACGAGTTTGTTGATGTTACAGGACCTGTTCTGGGAGCCCTGGAGGCTTTTCCTTTTATCAATGTGATAGGACTCATTGAATGATTATCTTCACGTATATTTAACCTGAATATCACAAGTTAGAGATAAATTGAGCATTAGAGTTGCACTTATCAGTAGAAAGTTCTTAGACAAATAGAAAGGACTTCAAGTCATTTGTAACATTTCCACAGTTGGGTAACAATTGCCAGTATAACGGTGCTAAAGAATGAATACATACCTACTATTTCCTTTTGCTAAAGTTCGCTCCTTGGTTGATCCAGTCATGGGGTCCCTTGAGAGAGAAAGCTTCTCTATTTCATTCTTCGAAATCCCATGGACATTTGGACTTGCAGCTAGGGAAGCATTGTCAAACTTGTTCACGCCATTTGTGCTACTAGACAATCCTGATCTGCAGGAGGTATACGTACCATGGACCTACTATGTTAAATTTTCAAAGCACATATGAAGCCAATACCAGATAAAGGCTTCGAAAAAACTAAATTATTCTTCAAATAAAAGCCAATCAATTACAAAACCAAAAGTTCCACATCTTTAGCTAATTGGTCCACCTATTCTGGTTCCACACACTTAGAAGTAGATACTATAAATGCATATTTGGAAAATTTGAAGAACAAAAACTACAATGGGGAAATTTTCCGTTCTATATTTTCTGGTAACAGAATGAAGATACTATCGTGGTTGGTAAACTACATTTTCAATATGAAATAGCGGTTGCATTTTTGTCAGACAACCATGCCCTTTTTACCTGAAGCCTTGAGCATCAGGAGATTGAAGACCAGATTCACCATTAAGCTTAGGATGTATGACCCGTTTAAGCTCTCCATCACCATCCATGGGTCTGGAGAAAACAGTTCCTACTGACCGTTTCCTTTTCATTTTCTTTTCCCACCCTTCCGCTCCAGCTGGCAATCTACGTATCATTTCTTCAACCATATCAGAACCTTCACCACCATCCTTGAGCATGTCCTTGTCTCTTCCCATGACTAGATGCTGCTTAGCAGGATTGTTACAACGGCTTTCAGCCTGAACACAGCAAACAGAGACACTTAAGGACTCTTGACAGTTTATGTAACATTATTAGATTTGCATATGGACAATGAGTAGGAGAGAAACAGAATGTCTCTATTGGGAGGCATCCATTTTAATTTTACAGAAATTTGAACAAAACCAGAAAATATAAATCAAAGTACGTCCATGCATTGTTGGCTGAAGAAGAAATTATGGGACAGATAAAACAGTCTTTCACGAAGGATCTTGGACTTCAAGGATTATTTTTTTTAATTCTAGTTTCATCCATTATCTTTAAGACAAATGCCTACAATTCCAAATACAACTTTTCTTCTTAACTTGAATTGTTCTAATATGGGAAAAAGTAAACAGTACATAACAGCAATTCTGAAACACATAAAACACCAAGAGTAAATATTTAATGGATGAAAATGATTAACCCAAAAACATACCCGTAATTCTGCTATTGAGGAGCGAACACGCTTATTCAAAACAACATTCTTATTCCTGTCCTCCAGCCTTTGACTCACTAGGTCTGGAGGATTTCGATGCATTAGAGAACCCATCTTCAACAAATTTGAGCCACCAGGTCGGTCAGTTGTTAATATCTCATTCCGTTGTTGCTTCTTCGAGCCTGGAGCTTCATAGTATTTGTTCAAATTTTGTAAGGACTCATCCAACTTTTTTGTCCTAGCCCTGATATAAGAAATATCACAGCTTTAGCAGAGAACTGAATTTACAAATGAGAACAAATTGACAAGTCATATCAATTCAATAAAATTCTGGTGAATTTGGTGCATGTGTCCAGGGCAAAGCTGACAATAAGAATCGTGCACCTCACAAGTAAATAACTAGAAACTAATAAAACACAAAGCCATAATGCAGAGAATATGGAAGCACAAAAAGGAAATTTCATGGATGACAGAGATTGAATAGAAGAATTAACATTACTTGGCCTTCATAGAGGCATCAAAAATACTATCTCTAATCCGTTTGAGTTTCTCTGTAACAACTGGAGGGGTAGTCTTCATATGAGATGTTTTGAAAGAATTATCTTCTGCAGTGTTGCCCAAAGAAATTTCTAAAACTCTCCTCAATTCTCCTGACCGTATCAATTTTTGATCTCCCATTGTAATGGGATCCAACACCAAGCATTGAGAAAGTGGAGGTACATCTGCCATTGATGCAGCACTCCCACGGGACATATTAGTCATAGAATTAAACATCCGGCTTTCACCACTCTCTCTGAAGCTTCCTGACCTATCCAAGCTGGCACCAGGATAATTTCCCCTCTGCCCATTTTGATAGTTCCCAAAAGCATATTCCTCAGGACTAGCTGAGCTTGATTCAAACCTCAGATTTCCAGCCATCATTCAAACCCAATTGACCCCAATCATCATATCTACAAAGAGTTTCTCCATTAAAAACTTGTTTCAGTAATTGACCAATTACTAGAGAAGCAATAACCTTACTTCCATCTGGGAACAAGTCACAAGTTAGTGATACAAACCAAGCATATCTAACAATAGAATAGATAGAATTTACCCAACAGCCATCTTTTGTTGATGCTCCATTTTTTTCCCAACTAAATATTCTACTTAAGAAATAGACAATAATCAAACTATACACAAGACAGACAAAACAGTTGTACTACTTTTTGCAGCTATAAGTGAACTCAGTAAAAGATAAACTGAAATAAGTGGGGGGGAGAGAGAGAACAAGAAGAATGAAACAATCAAATTACCCAAGAGGATAAAATAATTGCAAGGAAAAAAGTTGCATACTTTCTGGCGCCTAAAATAAAAAGATATTCAAAAATTTAAAACTGGTAATATTCTCCTTACCTACTGAGCAATCAAAGAGAACCTAAATTAGTTTACGTTCCAAAGGAAATCCCATAACTAATTGTTAAAAGAAACCAACTCACAGTTCCTACTAAGCATAAAAAAAAAAGAAGTAAACTTGACATGAACACCCATCAAGACCGTACAAAACCCCGCCAAATTCAGCAGAATCGAAAACAAAACAAGCAATTCGAGAATTGACTAAAACCCAAAACTTGTATTGAAAGGATAACTAATATCAAGTAAGAAAAAACAGCTGAGAAACCCTAATCGAGCACGAATGCTGGAGCTCGGACCAAAAAAATAGCAGAACCCACCCAATTCCTCGCTAAAGCAGGAGAATTAAGCTCAAGAGAAACGAGACGAAACCGGAACGTACCGGCATTGGTTGATCGCGGGAGAGATCGCAGAGTAGGAAAGAGAGAGGAAGGGCCAAATGACGGCAGACTTAGAGAGAGAAAGTAGGAAGTAGTAAGAGAGAGAAAGGGCGAAGTGCAGTCGTCGTGGAGATTCTTGAGAGAGATGGGGGAAGGGGGTAGGGCGGAGGAAGGTAGGGTGGAGAGGGGGGACCCGCAAAATTTTAGGGGTGGGGACAGGGATGAAGCAGCTAAAATCAGGGACGTTTATCTTTATTTGTGTGGAGATTTGGATAATACTGACCGTTTATCGGCTCTCGCTTTCTCTTATCGGGGGAAGTCCTTCTTAACTCCTATTTGGAATATTCTCTATCTTCATTTTTTCTTGTTTTAGGAGTGTTGGATTCTACAACTTTGTTTTTAATAAAAATAAAATACGTCATAATTTTAAAATTGGTTAATTTAAAATGATATAAATTTATTTAAATAAATTTTTTAAATATGAAATTATGAATTTATAGAAAATAATTATAGAAATTATTAAATGATAAAAAATAAAATAAAATAATTTATTTGAAATTAAGTTTAGATCCAAGTGACAGCTTTTAAATAAAGAAGATTCTTTTAAAAGGACAAACATGGTATTTTTTTCCCCTTTTTCTCAAGACAAGGATGTCCTAAATTTGTTTTGATACATTCATATTTTGCCACTTCTGATGTGTTTTTTTTTTTACTTCTTTTTTTTGCTTCCAGTTCAGTGGACAAAAGAGACAACGAAATGCATTAGGAGTGCCTTTTATAATACCATATTTTTACATTATTAATTTCCTTGTTTGTCATAAAACAAGAGACTTAGAGCATTTTGATTAGAGTTGTCCATTCTTTTTTCTAATTCAAGAAGAACAAAGACCCCAATAAGGAAATACTAGATTTTAAGGTTTACAACTGAAAATTACAGAGAAAATATTATTATTCTTAATTTCTTCACGGGACAGAATCCCATTGAAAAAAAAAAAAAAAGAGGACGGAAGCCAAATTGCAAATCTGCAACTATTCGAAAGTATCATTTAAATGGATTGCTTCAGGCTCTTGGAGATATCCTGGAGTCCTTGCAAGGGAAGATAGATAACTGCTTTGGACAGAAGTTAGGCCCTGTAAGCTACTTAGGAAGTCCAGTTTTAGGGTCAAGAAGAGATAAGCTTTCATCGGAGAGCAGAACAGGGCCTTCTCCAGGTCTTGTACAGATGAAATAACTAACATCCCCAGGATACTTCTGAGCTGGAGCGTTCACCACTTCAGGAGGTGGTAAGAGAGCCTCCACATCCTTTGTTCCCTCAAGCCCAGCGTCTTTTAATATTGACTTATCACCAATAACATAGCTGAAGAAAAATGAAAATCAAAGGAAATACATCAAGGCAGAATCCAATGACTCATTTTTGGGTGGACTAAGGGTTCAACATAAACTGACATGTCCCTGTGTGATACACATTGGAATCATTTCATGTCTATGAAGTGTATGATATAATAATACAGTGTCCTTAACAATTGGATTGAATGTACCTGTTAAGATCAGTATCAGGTTTTGGAGGGAAGTGGAAAAGTAGTCTTTGAAGCAGCTGGGTAGCAGTCTTTCTGTCTCGTGCAATTAGGACTGCATTTGGCCCAGCATCAAATGTATATGCCACCTGTCAGTTTTTTCATCATTTATCAGCTACATGAGAGCTCAGCATAAATGATTCAGATCATGCAATTTTAATTTTCAAGTAAGGAGTTGTGGAAGCAAAATTTTATCATGTTATGCTAGTTTCATTATTCAGAATGCAATTAACCACCAAAATCCTTATTATGATTAAATAGTTGCACATGTCTCAAGCTTAAACTGATAAATGAATCACAAAATCCATGAATGCAACTCTTTTTGTGGCATTATCTAGTCTTGGAACATCAAAATTTATATAGGGGACCTAGTCCACTAGTCCATGAAAATCAACTCAGTTATCCTCCCAACACTTTGCTACTAACTTGCAGCCTATTTTTAATATATTGCAGTTGTCCTAGCATGATGACTAGAATATCATTGTTAAAGAAAAAAATTAAAAAAAAAAAGTTGATAACTTCCGAGTACCTGTGGAGATCCTTCAGTACGGTTCCACTTCTCAACACAGCTGATTATCCTGAAGTAAGGCCCACCTGGTCATGCTACCTTTCTTTCCAGTTCAAGCATGGAACAAATTCAGAAAATAGGAAAATGGATAGAGGGCATACCTGTGGGACGTATCATTCATATAGAATATGGGAGGAGATGTATCCAAGCAGACTGCATGAAATTGATTACTATCGGCACAGGTCAACTGTGCAAAAGATGCAAAATCACGATTTTTGATGGCTTCTTCCATTTGCAGTATGCGTTTTGGCACAATTTCCTATTGCAATTCAGAACAGAAACGTGAATTGTTAAAATTTTGTACAATCATGTACAAGCTTAGAAAGTGAAGACAAAATGGTAGTGACTTTCTAGAACTCAAGTACAAAAAACACTTATAACCCAAAAATCTGCAGAAATATTTCAACAGAAAGACCAAAAGGTACCTCTGCCCTATGTTTTAAAAGCAAACTTGTCTCAACACTCTCACGCATTCCTGTAGTGCTACTTGTCTCCTTCTGCCTTGAACTTACCTGGAACCAACAGAAAATTGAGACTGGAAAAATAATTGCAAACTCAGAATCAAACAATTTTAAAACGCTTTGAAGGCTGAGGGATTGAACATTTTGAGATAAGTCTTCTTCACTAAATCATACATTATTATCAAGGATGCACTAGAGCATGTAACTTTTGATGATTACTTTAAATATTATTAACAACTGACCCAAAGTAAATTTTTGGCAGAAAGGAGAAATAGGAAAAGTGTGAGAAATAAGTACCACAGCAATAATAATAACAAGATCATCCCAATGCTTCTCATCTACTAGTTGAACTGCAAGACTGTCGTTTCCATCCTCCTCCTTTATAGATTATTGGGGAATGGGGGAGTGTCAGAACTGGCATTGAAAAGGCAAACAATACTTTCTCATGGAAGACAAATAGACAATAAAGATGAATCTTACTTTTCCCATGACCCACTTGACAAATCCACCAAATAGACTACGACAAGCACTGCCTGAACCTTGTCTGTACAAAAAAAACAAACATTAAAAATAAAATAAAAATTTTTAAAAAAAAAAACTGCCAACAATAATTAGGTTAGCATAATGCATTGCTCTAGTATGAAAATCATAATCAGACACCCCCATTAGAACAGAAAAAAGAAAAAAAACAGTCAAGATGGTACTTGATAGATATCAATAATAGTGACAATGAATTTTGTCAGTTAAGTAACTAAGTAGCAACTATATTTGATTAATATGCAAAACTTATAAGCACATAGATATGGGAAACTAGCAGCTTGAAAAGAAAAGGACTATAATCAGTAGCAAACCAATACCTGGCTATAGCTGAAAGCTTACTGTGATCTTCTTTCACATTCATCAGCTTTGCTAGGGCAAAAACTGCACAAAATAAAACCGAAAAGAATGATTTTTTAAAACCAACTCAGATCTTGAATCATAAAAGGCAAAGGATTGAAAGGTTCTAGTAGGATTGAATGGAGAAATTAACCACTACATCGAAAAGGCATAAATACATAAGAACTAAACTTTATTACTACAAATAGAATAACAATAAATTCCTATCTAGCGACGGATAGAATGGTATTTTACCAAGACAAGCAAAACCAGCAGCAGAAGAAGCCAATCCAGCAGCAGTAGGGAAATTGTTATATGAGGAGACATGCACATGCAATTTCTCCCAATCCTTCTTTTCTATCTTGATACCTTTCTCTTTATCCTCCAAATCTCCAGCACGACCACGAATCTCCCTTAAACAATTTTGGTACCTGACTCCAGAAAGCGAAACTTCCTACACTAACCAGCAAACACCACAAAAAGCCACACATCAGTATAACAGAAACTTAACACTCTACTACAGGGCAAAGATGAGGAAAAAAGGATTCTCTTGTTTCATCTTACTGAAGAAAGGATCATTTTTATTGTCCAAAACTGGATCTACAACTAATCCTACACTCAGGTCAGTATCAAAAAGCGTAAAAAAAGCCACTTTTACAGTGACCAAGAGATTTGTAGAGAAATCAATCTTACTAAGCTCTCCTGATTCAAAATAGAACCCCATTCAACCAGGTTTCAAACCCATATTCCAAAATATGAAAACAACAAAATACCTTCCCATTGAGCCACATACGATCTTGCTGGAAAGTGGGGCTGACGGCAACCGTAGTGGTGGTGCAAAGGTGGCTGGGATCCAGCGTGACGCTGATGCTGTCATTAACCGGCAAGATCAAGGTCTCGTCCCTCTTTCCCCAATACTTAATCACCGCTATGTTGGTAGGCGTCTGTGCCGTCGCCGTCAACACCCAGTTCTCCGCCATTTCCAGCCCTCCAATTTCAATCTACAGAACGACGGGTAGAAAGAGTGGGAATTCGCTCGCTTATATAGAATGTCAAAGCTCAAGAGAGCTTAGCGCAGACAAAGCAAGGCGGATCCTGTGACTCCAGTCCAAGTCGGAGAATGTTAGAGCTTTAAGTTCGCTGATTCACCGGAACTGTTGAACTCATCAATGAGGGTCCTCGTTGTCGTCGCCTATTAATTTTTTGGTTAAAAGACTTTTGTGAGTGAGCCTGTACCGGACTCCATTTTCCTACAAAGTCAAGGGAGCAGGGACTGTTTGGTTAGAGGTTAGTTTTACCGGAAACGTGATTGTGATTGAGAAATTGC